AATTACATTTGAAAATGCATTATGTGTATAAAATAGAATAACATACTCTAAAAGTTTCAAGTAGGTAGGTACCAAGAATAATATTTTTTAAATTACAACAAAATAACTTAAATAATTATTCTTAGTTATTTTATAATTTTGTGATTGCTTTCAAATTCGAATATTAAATAACTATAAAAACAAACTATGTTTATATATTTTTAGTTTTTTTGGTTACAGAATTAACTGTTTGTGCTCCTCTGTTTTTTAGATGTGATCCCTAGCTATAAAGGGTGAATATTTTATAAATATTTAACTAATACCCTACGAAATAATTTGTACTTTTTTAACTTGATAATTTTTGTCAACATTTGATCTTTGAATGTTTATGAAACGAAATCGTACCTATGTATTTTTAATATTTGCAACTGATATTGTGGGAAAATGTATATCCTTATATTAAATTTTCAAGCTAACCAAACAAATAAAATTGTATTAACAATTATAGAAAAAAAAAACTAAAACTAATTTTTTATGTCCGTAAACAGCTCAAAACGAGTCAAAATATTTTGAAAATGTTATAAAGTATATGAATTGATAAAATAAACATGTGGCGTAAATTTCAAGTATTTGTTTTTGAATTACAATAAAATAAGAAAATCACTACATGAAAAATCGATTGAATATTCTATTTGTCAACTCTAGACACTCATAAAAATTGTATTTAACTTTTCTGTAGAATTGTTTTTGATAAAGGTAGACAAATGTCTAAGGAATTTTATATTTGCTTTAAAAATCTTAGATATAAAAAAAAATATTTACCGGGGAGATAATTACCTGTCCTCCGGCCGACCAAAAAATATATGTCCCTATTTGTCCCGACGTTGGCCGCATCATGAGTGCAAATCGATAAAACAAAAACAAGAGTCGTCTTGGTATTGTATAATAAGTATAAGTTAAATTAGATTTTACTAATATATTTTTATTTTTAATATTATTACTAAACACCAAGTATAAATGGTTATTTCAGTCGAGTCGATGTAAAGCCTTCGTTGACAATTATCACGGATAAATTAAATGGTCGATTTTCAATATCTTCATCCGTTATTTTAATTTTTATATTACTTACGTACTTTCTTATCCAAAAACGGCAAAATCTAGTGGATACGTTTACTCATTTTCAAGGGGTTTTAGTGGCGTTATCGATGGGCAGAATTCGAGACAATTCTACGCTTCATGACTTTAGTATAAGTGGCATAACACAATCGCTAAATAAACGAGATGTCCATATTAACTATAAACACAACGGCTACTCATAGTAAAAAGTGGACTGATATAGCCCGGCGCCACTGCATAATACAACAGAGCAGTGAGTTTAGGTCTCGTAGGACCAGGGTTGTATATATGGATCAGTCACTCGTTGCTACTAGGTATACCTTTGTTTCTTGTTTGTCGGTTTCCACGTCGTCGGCGGTCGTCGTCGACGGCAACAGTTCACTGGACATCACGATCACAGCATAAGTTCCGATTACAGATATTCCGATATTGAACCCGGTTTTTCTACTATTTGGAAAAGAATACATTTTACTGTGTAACATCTTTTTTATTTTTTTGATATCACAAATACAAAAAAATGTATTCAAGTCTGAAATAATGAATTTTTAAACAGTAAGAACTTTTTTGTAGTAGTGATACCAAAAAAATGGTAATTAGTTAGCAAAAATGAATTTAACTAACTGTAATACTAATACTTAATAGTAAAATAAAATAATAAATTACTTTAATCACAATGATATCATTAAATACACTAAATTACCAAGTAATATTATAGGCTGATTTTTTATCAGGATCGTTTTTTGGAATTGCACTAATTTTATATAATTGAATTCAAATTTAACACCATCCCATTACAGTGAGTAGTGACCCACTTATTTGAACTTAGTAATTCTACAATAATACTTTTTTCGACTGATTTGAATTATTTATTATATCTACTTGAGATACAGTACATTTTTCTCAATTGAACCTAACCCCCTCCTTCCCCGCCACAAATATAAATTTAGTTATATATTTTGAAATTTCAGAATTTTCAAAAGCTGATTGTTCGGAATTAAAATCAGAAATTTTAAATTGTAGACTGACCAATATCAATTGGATTACAATGAAATCAGATAATTTTTTTGAAATATTATAGAATTAGTATATAGATCAGTAAAACGAAAAAAAGTAAATAAAAATGATCATAAATTGTTTACCATTTACACTTTGCACACTATCTACGTCGAATTTGTGACTTGGTCATGATCTCTGATCTATTTATTTTACACAAAGTCACAAACACTAAGGATCATTTACTACAAACACATTTACAACACCACATTAAATCTACACACATTTCATTTGAAAATAGTCTATTTCGAACTCCTTTAAAACTATACGACCCTGATCCTTTTATACAAAATTTTATTAATATGTATATTCAATTTTTGTTAGTTAATTATTGTCGTTAAAAATGTTTCGTTGTGTCGAAAATGTAATACTTTTGTAATCAAAAGTTGTATTGATTGCTAGTTTAAAAAAATGTTGAGCCAAAACACACAATATTTTTTTATTTTGACAAAATCAAGAACATTTGCAAATAATTTGAATAAATTATATTTTTATATCTAAGATTTGAAAATGTAACACAAAATTCATCGTTCGTTTTCCTATCGTTGAAATGAAAGTTTACCGGAGATTCAAATTCATGTTTTAAGAGTTTATTCTTGTTGAAATTGTTTTGACATTGCATGTTTATTGTTTAGTTGGTTTCCCATAGAACGATTTTGTTATTTTTGTTATTTTGTTATTTTATTTTCTTCTTTTTTTTTTAAACCGATAACCATAGATTCCTGAATTTTTCATTTTTATTTTATCATTTTTTATACATGACACATTTTCATTTTTTAAATAATTTTTTTCTTGAATTAATGTCGTTCAATTTTTTTGGTCAAACTCAAAACGTCATATAAGTTTTCTCATACTTTCTCATAATGGTAATTTTAAAATATTAAAAATACATAAGAGCAATAATGGTACCTAAAGTTCAAATTTTGAAACCTTTTGAAAAAATAATTTATTATTACACAAAAAATACTAAATAGGAATTGGCGGTCGGTACACATAAGTTAAATGCACATAAATTATATTTGTCTGTTGTAAACAACTGTTTTATTTATGTCATTTAAATAATTTATATTTAACAAAATCATGTTGGATTAATTCAGATATTTAAAACATGTCTTAACCGTAGTCTGTGATCGCAGACTGACGACAGCGGCTGGTTCGAGACAATATTTCCCCTACTCTGTGCCACAACCGTATAGATTGTATATTTATTATTTTAATATCAAACGTGACTGAACGTACCGAACATTAACATTACGATGGGCCATTGTCGTTGAGTGGGCGATGCTCGGGATCGGAAATTTTGAGTGTTTTGTACTCATTTTTCTATCTATTGTTCTCTAATGACTCAGAATAAACCTACTAATTAGCCTGATTATTTTATCATTCATCGAAAGTCGAAATAATATTTTTTGTCTGTTTTAAATGTTTAGTAAAATATAACATTTTAACATAAATTATTGAAGTTATATTCCGGGACCAATACCCGTCCCAAGAGGCACCAGTTAGGTTAAAGTTAGGATTCTCACCTTCCGTCCTTGTCGAAGTCGTTGGCATGCATATTAGGTTGCCGATCCACTGGATTCGTAAGGAGTAGGCAGTTTGATTGGAAAAAAAGTATTTTTCTACACAGTAGTATAAATAATCGATTGAAGTTAAAAGTTAGGTAATACTCTAAAGTCGTTGCAATTCACACCTTATACGGAATTTAACTTAAAATATCTGTAAATTGTTGGTATAGCTGTACTTCGTACTTATAACCATTATCGTGACGTAAATGACGGTACTTTATTTTCTTGGTACCTATTAAATAGAAAAAGTAAACACTGTTGTCTGTTATTGAAATACAATCACAAATAACAATTATTGACATTTATGTATGATATAAATCATTAATAGCTGATTAAAGAAACCAAACTAGCTTCCACGGATATAATTGAAAAATGTACCGAGAAAAATCTCAATGTTAAACTACCATCAGTAACACCAGTCGTCTGCTAACAAGAAAACTGTACACAATACAATTCATAGTACCAAAGATAATATATAAGAATGAATTATGTAAAATATAAAAGAACATATTCTTGATTTTTGAAATAAATATTCAATGTTATTGATCATAACCCTATATACATTTTTTAAGAGTCAAAATTACTGAGTGATGCAAATTTGTATAATATAACTTCTATATTATAATTATTGAAATTTTGTATTTGTATAATGATATGGGTATAACCTACCTATTAACATTCATTCTTTTCAATGAATATAATATTTTCTTTTAAAATACACTACACAAATATTTCCTTATAAATTAAATAATTTATCAATCAATTTACAATACGATTGCTAACGTCAATAGATATTGATATTTTAGTGCATTCATTGCATTCAGCAGATTGGCCATGTTCATTGTAGATTTTCTTTTAATAAATTTACTATGAGTCTGAGATTTATATAGTTACATAATATGAGATTAGATGATAGAATAATTGTTAATAATAATATTTATTTATTTATTTTTTATACATTTATTTGGAAGTATTTGTTATCAGTTATACTAGATATGTTATAATTAGAAAATAGTAAATAAATTCATACTTTGTAGTGTTCTTATAATTATATATAAGTACATAATAGTGAACAATGTTATACCTATCTAATAGTTTTTGTCATGGGTATACACAATCAACAAATTGTTCAACACAAAAAAAAGGTTAAATGATTCTTAATATTAAAGTATTTTGTAATTAAAATATTATATTTAAAAAAAAAACTATTAAGTACCTAATTAGTAATTATAGTAACATTCATAAGAACACAGATATAATTCTATATAAAGTGTTATTATTATTATTTCAATATAGGCAATTTTTATCACAATTAAGTAATCATGATTATCTTACAAGTTATCAAATAAAAATGTTAATGTTAAGTAACCATAACTTTAAGCTATTATTATGTAATACATGTACATCGCTGATTACAAATAAAGATTATTACTATTATTGTTGATTAAAAAAGAAAATAATGGGCAACACCTCAACAAAAATTGTTTAACATCCAAAGTCCATTATTTAATGCAAATAGCCATTAATCATCTGAAAAAAAGAAACCAATTGTTACTATTTAACTAGTATAATATATAATTGTGCAAACAACTAAAGTAGTTTTATAAAAATGGCTAAGTCAAACATTTAGTTTACATCCATTAGGTAATTGTTACCTGCATACTCACAATACAATTTTTTTGTGTATGCGTTTCATAGTATCAGAGTACAAGGTAATACATTTTTTAACTATAGACTAACATATTAGCTGACGTATCGAATAATTAAATCATATATTATTCTATATGATACATTAATGTAAGTGAACTACACTTTATTGGGTATTACACAAACGGAAAAACATTTCAAAAAATAAAATGTTTTTTTTATTTGGAATAACGTTTGTCATTTTTTACATCCAACCTGTCATTATTATTATTATTAACCCTATATTCATGAACTATTAAATGTTAGCTATTTTTGTCAGACTTAAGATTGTCACTGTTCAGTTAAATATTGGAAAACATGTTTACAATACTTATATTAATATTAAACAAAAGTCTGAATCCTACGATTTGTATTATATTATGTGAGCAATAGGAACATTATACCTATTTTTTTAAAAAACTCTGTTTAACAAAGAATTTAAAAGACATATATAAATTATTATTAGTTATATGGTTGGATTTTAAAACAAGTACTATAAACTAGTACTAACTAACCAGTTGACACAAGGACAATAATTGAAAATAACAAAACATGACCTTTGAGATCTACCAATTTCATAGTTTTAAAATAGCTATAATAATTTATTTAAAAAAAAAAATTACAATTTATCATTTTTTTATAACGTTAAGCAAACAAAAGATTTAAATAATTTTGAAAAATGTAATACATTAAACAAAACAAATTAAATTACAATTGGACATATCATAATAATATCAAACATTAAAACAATATATTTGTTTAAATTTAAATTGTGATACTCAGGTATTTTACTTATTTGCCGTCTTCCTGGTGTATCTTACAGCCTAAGTATTTTTTATGATGCTTGTGAATTGTGACATACCATGGTACTTAATAAAATGATTAAGTATAATATGATTAGGTAAATAGAATATTTTGTTTAATTATATATCTGCTTAAATGGTTATAGCATTATCTGGTGCCTAGTTAATGTAATCGGCATACATCGAGTGATAGCATGCAGATTTAATATTTATTTTTAAACATTTTAAACGTTAACATTATATGAACCTGTGTAGGTAAGGTTTATGAGAGAAAAAACAATTTACTATCCGGTTTGGGGCAGCTTTGGCAAAGAATTACAGTGCATTTAGAATTTTATATATTATTATAGATTATAAATTATTATAAAATAATTATTGCTTTCAAAGTGTACCTTATCCTGAATCTCAACAGTATACAGTCCACTCCTTATCCCTTGTGGGAAAATTGATCCATGTTTGGTACAAACTGAGTAGATGAGTTATAAATCTTCTTGCTAAATCAAAATTTGGATCATCGACCTAAAATTATTTAAATTAAAACAAAATTTAGCAAATTCAATTTTGCAAATTAAAAATAGTAAATGGTTCAATAAATTAAGATAGAAAATAGAAATATCTTCCGTGTCATATTTTTTTTATAAAAATGTCAATTGGAATCTACTGCATAGGAACTATGTAAATAATAACAACTTGATGAACTTTGATTAAAAATCAAATTGTACAATAATATTATGTCAACCATAGTATCAACCATAAATATGTTGTATCAGATATTCTCGAAAAATACCTATGAAATTATCATTTTGATAACAGTTATAGATTTGAACAGTTATTAATTCACACAGTTCTTTCAATCTTATTAATGGCCAAAAAAAAATATATTTTATGCCTTGATAATGAAATTTAATTCGTCATCACAATTATAAGTATCATCATGGATTAACAAATCTTATACAATTACTGGCATTAACACCAATTTAATGTTTAAAAACCAAACTTATGTATCATTCTGTAAACTCAGATAACTCACCTAATTCAAATTACATATATACAAATTAACACCAAATAATATTTACTATTATTATTATTTATTATTTGCTATTACACAAATAAATAATAAGAACAAAAGATGGTTAATATTTGATCACAAATTAATATTTAATGCTCACCTTATAGTATAATGTAGCATTAACAAATATTTGTTTTATTTCTTCTACAATGTCACTGAGCTTGTAATTTTTTTTGCGAATCAAATGATCTCTAACATTATTTAATGCTATAGGACGGACAACGCGTGTATAATAGATTGGACACTACAAAATAAAATAATATAAAACAGTAAATATAAATAAATGCAGAGTTACCTAATTAATAGTTATCATCGAACTTACAACTTCTTCATCTGGAAGTTTTCTGAAAATATCACTGCTTCCAACTCTACAGTAAAATTCCATTAAAATACGCTCAGCGATTTTTCGCCCAACCTTGCCAACTGAAATATTTTCTAGGTCATCATCTTCGCCTAAATTCTTTGATATAGCATTCATATCCTCACACATTGTGCACTGCCACAATTGTTTTGTTTTTTCACTTCTATCATAATTGTAATTACTAATTAGTATAGAATCATTTTATAATAAATATACCTATGACTAGCCTACAGAATTAGAAAAATTAATAATAATTCATTTTAAATTGTATCATTACTACTTGCAACAATAGTATACCCGGAAACAATGATGGGAATATGACAATTATCATGATATTTTCTAAGACAGGCACAGCATTCATACAATTTTTCTTTTCCATCATTTTCATTGCAACATGAACAGTTTGTATAAGAACTATTGAATGTAGGTAGAATAAAAAAGTCCTTATCTGGTTCTGCAAAAATAATTACTATGATTGTGACGTACTATTAGTTTTATTATAATTAGTAAATAGTTTACCAGATGATGAATTATTATTTTCAACAACTTTATCTCTTTTCTCCCCTTCTGCATATTGGCGATATGGCATAAATGTAACTGATTCAGAAATTATAATTATTATAATTTTTAGGTACTTTTAGGTTTATAATAAATAATAAATAGTTTACCGGAGGACAATTTGTTAGGATGTTTCTTTTTAAAACTCGAGGATCTACTTTTGTTATACTTTTTTTTTATTTTATCCATTTTTAAGTACGTTTTTATCGCTTTTTCTTAGAAACTGATCTGAAAAAAATAGTCATTATAGTTGTTATGACAGGTAGATATTATAAGTTTTATCATAAATGTATGCACTAAAATATCTATTTTTGATTATAAAAATGTAGGGCTTGGCATGTTAATCATATATTTTTAATTCAGTTAAATTATGTTAAGTATTTTGTTTTCCTCCTCTTTCCCCCATGTATAAATTTTCTACTAAACAATAAGATATTTTTGACTAGATAATGCTTGATTCTATGCAATATCATATTAGTTGACTCTACTGCAGTAACCTACTACCGATAATTGATATGGTGGCTTCATTGAGGTGCCACTAATTGCGTCTGTCACAGATAATTATACATACTAACCTTCAAAATGTAAACTGTCATTTCTCATATATTTCGGAAATCAATACATCATTTATTATCCATGCAATTTTAAAATAGCAGACAAATGTTAACTAAATTAGTATCGAAAAAGTAGGTGAAATAAAATATAAGAAACAAATGTTACTACCACTGTACCTCGCACCTATACTTGATTTTAATTAGATTTTTTTGTTTAGTAATATCTTGAGCTATAAAAAAAATTGTAAATTTAAAAGTATTAATATTTATGAAATCGATAATAATATTGCAGTACCTTGTGTATAACAGAAACTAACAAAAAGTGTACGAGCGCTGGAAAGAGATTAAAATATACAGGTACTTACCAGATTATGTGTACGGAGAGCAATGAACAGTTGCACACTGTGATTTCAATGTATTATAGTATCAATAGTATCTATCCTGTAGCGCTGCAGCGGTCAAACAGTCACAGCTACAGCGTCGTCATCTAATCCCCAGCAAAAAGACTGCGCCAATGGCGACGAGAATCTGATAATGGCTTTTTCGAGGCCACGATAAGAATTGTAGTGGTGACCATACGTTAAACGTTTAATGCCACTAAGGCGCATGCGCATGCGCATCGCATACCTGCTACGCACAGAGGCAGGTACTACCATTGCCCCACAACTCTTATATCCGGAACATTAACCTAACGGTGGTGGCACAGACTTATATCGTATCGATACACGGAATTCAATACTAAGCTATATAGTATATAGTACTGTATAGTAATCTGTTAACGTATAAATATATATTACAACATTTTTGATATTTATTGTAATTTCACATTTATAGAAATTTTATTTTATTTTATAACTAAAAAGTTAGTACCTATGAGACAGTTTACAAAAATAAAATGAAATATAGAGTGTAATTATTATTTATAGTATTATTAATATCAAATAAAACAAATAATATTTAATATAAATAATGATTCATCGACGAATAAAACAGGTTGAGAAACAATGTACAAAGGCCTAGTAATTATATGTATTACTTAATACGTTTTTATGCGATGACTCGTCCAAAACATTAGCGTCCGTAAAGATGATGAAAGATCATAGGTCACCATATACGATTACCTTTATTTTATTAATTCATTTTTAACATCGAAGAGAAATAAAAAAAATTGTAATAATTTTGAATATGCATAGTACCCTTTATAATATTATAATACACTGTCAAAATAACCGGCAGTTAAAAGATACGACAATTGAGTTTGTATGTCTACTTAGGGTGGCACCACTTTGCCGTCACTTATTGCGAGCTGTTACAGAGTCGTTTTGTCTGGGGTGGAGGGTAGAGGGATGAATTCTTTGCGATGCCGACCTTCGATTATTTTTATTATTGTCACAATAGCAAACATGGTGCGCAACACTTGACATTCGGTTGGAATTCGACACGTATTATAGAAGACGATTGTTGTGGCCGTAAACGTGTTTCTACTCACTGATTTTTTTATTTTATGTTAACAAACAAAGGCCAAACTGGTTTGTTAACGCTGCAGTGTAATCGTTGCTGACTCTATATAGGGTTGTAATAATATCATTGCAGTAGAATTAATAATATTCGTATAGATCGAAACATCGTATCTCATTCAATATAATATACGTTCATCGATATTTTGTTTCGAAATGTTGATGTTTTTATTGTAGCACAACCGATAGTGCAAAATATAATATAAAATAATAAATAATTGTGTATATTTAGTCCTCCTGGCTCAACAATTAATAATAAATAGTTATTAGAACAAGTATAAAATAATAATGATAATTTTTTTTTTTATAATACACAATATATTGAAATAATTCACAGCACACAATATGTATTTAATAATAATATACTATTTCTGGCTATTGGTTTTATGATACAAATTATATTTCAAATGCTGCCCATATGGCCCGGCAATATCTACAAAATAATAATATTAAATATGTCGTCCTTGTAGCTCAACGAAAGTAAAATATATAATAACTGATAATTGTTGACAATTGCGGCCCTTTTGAAACAACAAGCTAAAGGTGTACAATATGAAATAAATACATAGAACATTCCATAATAAAACTCACAGGATTTGTCGATGCACTGTTGGTCAGCTCCTACCTATTTACTACAATAATTTTCACAAACATTGCAGACATAATATATTAGTACCTATATGATAATATGATACCCTGATGCAGTAGGTTAAAAGCATATGAGAATAAGACACTAAAATCGCAGTTATTAGTGCTCACGTATCGTGGTGTGTAATTATTTGATATTATTACGGTGACGATTCGCTCTGACATGTAAATACAATAATAAACGGCGATTCGCGCACTCAAAATATAAAGAAAATGACACAACTATTTTCAGTGGCGATTCACATGCGAATATATCACACCACGATTCGCGCACTTAAAATAATTATTAGTTAGTGTTCACTGTACAGAACGAACTAACTTATTACGGACCGGTGAAGGCGGCGGCCGATTGCGCTTAATTGCGCAACCTACGTAAACTATATAATATTATTATATAATTCTCAAAGAGTTAATTGAATACCAAAATAAAACAATACAAATATCATATGTTTCTATGTATCGGCGATTCGAGGCTAGTGGTATTAGCGGAGTACTACGGCATAAAATATTTTAGATAACAATACATTAATACATATAAACATCCGAGCTCAAAAGAGTGAAGTTTACGACCGCCCAAGTATTTATGTGTTGTGTCTGTAATATTAATGCCGACAATTCCTATTCAGAGGACCTTGGGGTCGACGATGGTGCATAATATTTTATATGACGTTTACTGTTATAGTGGGTGGGTGTGCCGGTGGTAGTCGTCTCTGGGTAGTAGTGTGGGGTGAGTGTACAAGGTCGTTTGGTCTACATTCGGATTGTAGTTAGTCACGTAAGCTACTCTGTAGGAAACGGTACACCTGCCCGTGGCAAGGGGGGAGGGCGGAGTGATGACGTTGAGGAAGAAAAAACGAAATGAAAAAAATCCAGCAGCCACCCCATCAAGGCCGTACCTGGGTGGGGAGAGAGGGGGGTCAACCCATAATAACTTTTTCCAAAATATAATTGTTGGTATATTCGGTAAGTCGGTTCTAGTCAGTCAATTTCTAAGGAGTAGGAATTTGGCAAATTATATTGCACATTTGGGTCATGTCAGTGTGTGCGGGTTAATGGAACATTAGTGTGTGTGCGCTACACGCCACGTATCTCAACTCGTTCTCACATTCGCAGGCACATGACAGTATAATATCAAATTAAAAAAAGTATTTGGCTACTTTTCGAGTAAAACCTACCTCAGCTGTGACAAATTTTAAGACTTAGTTTGGTTCAATTTTAATTCCCTAAAAATACTAAAATTTTATGATTGAACACATGTTGTAAACACTGATATTGTATGATATTATAGTTTTATGAAAATTTCAAACTTTGAAAAAAGAGCTCCTGCAGTTCTTTAGAGATGTTAAGAAATGTTATTATTTTAACAACATTGAAATCAAATAATCCAAACTCTCACAGTCTTGTCACAGCGGGAGGCTTAAAAACGATTTTTTTCTAACCGACCACAACCGTCTTACATGTATCGTCATAAAGATACTAATACCTTAAAAAATAATACATTTTATAAATAAAAAACCAAAAGATGTAGATAATATGGAAACATTTAAAATCTAAAATTGAATAAAAAGTGTAATCGACAAATTTTCAACAGATTTCCAAAGTGTATGAAATGTATTGATATATTTTTAAGACATTAGAACCTGTTCGACTATTCATTTAATACACATGTATGAGCCCGACACAGAGGGTTGACAGAAAAACCACTCGGTGGGACGAGACCAGTTTATTGCACGGAGTGCTATTTTTCGCCTCCTGGGTTTGGAGTAGGCAACCCACCTAACATGCCTGACCAAAGGAGCGTAGGCCGTAGGCTTACTCTTTCACACGGATTAAACACCTGGTGCTCAAACAGGGATTTTGAGATTTACGATGGGAATTTTTGTTTGTAAATGCTATTGGATATAGGAGAACTAATTAGTATAAATTGTATAAATTAAAATTATAAAAATTAGATATTTATAAATTATTGGTTGTCATTGGTTAATCAAGTATAGTCGGATTGTTTATCAAGGAGGCTGAATTGCACATAAAAGAAGTTGAACAATCACAATTTTTTTTGTAAGTTGTAATTGTTTACGGACTATGAAGAGAGTGGGATCAGCTAGTAAATATATACAGTAAACCCTGTAAAATAGGCTTAATCAACCTTGATGTACAGGTGTAGGTACAGGTGCATTTACATCTACATGTCATTTTATCAAAATAATATTTTTTATTATTTAAGAACCTAATCGTTATTAATGCCTAATTTAGAATATTGAAGTGATATAAAAAAAAATATAAAAAAATATTTTTCGGCAAAAAAACTATTATGACATTATCATACAGTAGAAATGACGAAGAGAGCCAAGCCACTCCACCAACTTTTCATAACATCTACTTCATTACAAGTTTTTTTTAAACATCGACAACTTTCTTAATAATAAATCTTTTTTAATCAAATTACATTTAATACATATTTTTCTTTGGTAAGGTTTTCACGATATTTTAATTTTTAAATGAGTTATAACTTATAACTTATGTATATCACACACATTGAAATTTATTTGTATTTTTTGAAAATTTTTTACAAATACTTATTTTATAATAAATAATATTGTAAAATAACATTTTATGAAATTCACGCACTTGACAACCACAGCAACTTCGGACACTTCGCCAGAGTCAATAGTCATCGCCACACGCCTATACAGCATACAATATACATATATGACATTGCCCGCGGCACACATAGTCGATCTCGCGGCACATCGGTTGAGAACCACTGCCCTAGTCCATACCATAGAATAACGAGTAACAGTTCTTACATACAGTATATCTTTATTTGAAGCAGGTAACAAATTATCATGCAGTAATTATCAATCAATCACTTTATCCTTAACGTTATCTAAATTCATCTAAAAATGTTAATGTATGAAGGGCAGAATAGTAAATTTCTTACATAAAAAAATCTGGTTTCAGATCTGGATTATCAATAACAGATATACTTTTTGAGATTAATAGCTTTATTTAAAATAATATGGATAAAAATAACTAAGTATTAGATATTTTCCTAGTTATTCAAAAAGTGTTTGATTGTGTAGATCATAAGAAAGGGATAATAGATTATTAAATAAATAAGATAAGTCTGGCAATAGAGGATTCCCAAATCATTTTATAAAATCATTTTTAAGTGAAAAAACTCAGAGTTAAAATAGATAATAACCTTGGTGAATTACTTAATATAACTTGTGGTGTTCTCTGTGGCACAGTACTAGGTCCTCTTTTATTCATTATTTTTATAAATTATTTTTTAAAAGTAAAAAATATAAATATACGTTTATCGAATTGTATAAAAGTTTATGGACAAAATGGTGTATTTTATATGGGTCTGAAATTATAATAACTTTTAACATTAATATGAACAATTTTAACTATTTAATTATGTTTGAGAAACATATTAAACATTTAGATTTAGCTTATTTATGTTATTTATTAATCATATTTTCTCAAATGTTTAATTAATTTTGCTTACTATATTTACATTAATTTATTTCTGTTGAACTGGATACTTTAAAATGAAAAAAATTACTTTACTCCTATATTTTGTCTCTAGATACTTTTTATTTATTCATACTAAATTTAATTATATTATATTTTTATCTTTTATATTCTTAAAAACTGCTACCCCAGCACACGCTTTGTTTACCGGTTGTGCTGCAATTTTGTATTTATAATTGTAAATTTTGATGTAATACCTTGTGATGTTGTAATAAACTTATTATTATTATTATTATTATTATTAAGTAAGTAGGTATGTTGTATATAATATCACAATGTATAAAATATTGAAAAAAAGTAATTTATAGTTATAGGTAAACATGTCAAAATACAAAAAAAATTAAGTATGTTAATAATTTAAAAACGAAGATAAATAATATTTGAAAGGCAAAACAATCTTTAGTTATTTGCATGAAAAATACAAAACTATTTAGATATTTGGCAAAAAAAAAGAACGAAAAAAATCAAATCAAATTTATAACTTGAATAAAGATAAAAGGTATGAAACAGTTTGAAAAATATAGTTAATAAGTTGGTTTCATTTATAATGATAGGTACATCTGAATTGACTGCATTTATACGCTCTTTAACTTGTTTCAACAATAAGTTTAATGGGCAAGAATTGATCTCTAATAGTATCCAGGATGTAAAGGACAATTCATTAGGTACTTCTTTGGTACAATTATAATCCATAATTATTTCTGGTTTAAGAGTTTCTACATCAATTTTTGAATCATGGTGCATAGTTGAAAGCAAAATAACTTCCTTGCTTTTTCGAGGTACGTACGACACTAATGTTTTATTTTTTTGAAACCCGAACACTCTCGAACCAACTTCTTTTTTTTATCTGTTAAAAATTCTGTAGGTATTTCTTGTTTGTTTTTTTTCAAAGTTCCAGTTAGAGTAATTTTTTTTGTATTAAGTAATCTGCAAGTGGAATACTGGTATACCAGTTGTCTGTGGTAAGATTTCGTTTAGAGTTTTCGATGGGTGTTACTAATGGTTTCACGATATCAATTGGTGAATTAGAAACCTCATACTGACCAGGTGGTTGTTTTCCAACATAAATCTCTATTTTGCTAATGTAAAATGTATTTGCATCACATAATGCAAACATTTTGATGTCATATTTGGCCGGTTTACTTGGGATATACTATATCCATTGACACCGACCACGAAATGGGTGTAACATTTCGTCAATAGTAGTATATTCACTCAAATTATAATTCTGTTTGATATTATTCAAGTAAAGGTCAAATGTAGTACGAATAGGAGCCAGTTTATCAATCGCCCGTCTTTCAGCTCTAGTTTCGCGCTCGTCAAATCTGAGGCAGCGACACAAAAGCAAAAATCTTTTGTAGCTCATAGTGGCCCTAGTTATTGCTATACCAGAACCATCCGCTGAACATAATTCTTTTACATTAGCATGATGAGCTTTTTTTACACCAATCAAAAATAAAAGTCCAAAATAAGCCAGTATTTCACACCTTGAAGTATCTAAGCAGTCTCGGGGTCTAGAGTATTGAACTCGTTGTCTCATATTACTAATAAACATATTAGTGCACCTTACGATTTCGTCAATCATGTCAACATCAATTATTTTTAGAAATGCATCCATCTCACTAACGATATTTCTAGCACACTCCTTTAGACCATTAACTACGTTTATAATATTATGTTGCCTAATTTTTGAAGTTGTAAACTCTTTTTGTTGCCATTTAGTTATTTTATCTTTTCCTATATAGAATGTACTGTCCCCCAAACTAGTCTCTAGATCTGATTCATTGTCTGAAAAATGTTGTTCAGAATTACTTTCGTGGTCACTTACCTCCACATCTTCGATGCTTAGATCACTATCACTCTCTTGGTCATCTACACAGTCTATTTCAGTTATAATGTCTTGCAGTAAACTTTGAATTTGCTCAACTGTCATATGATCCTACCTAAGACATTGTATAAATAATATCGATTATTAGTACGTACCAAAAACGTATACAAATCATAAAAAAATTTAAATGTATAATATATTATATATTGCATAGTGATATAAAACAATACTTACATATTTTTGTTCTTATTACCACACAAAAACAAAAATTACAAATTTTAAGTCATGTACAACGAACGACGCGTACACCGAACGACGCGTTTTGTGTTTGGCGTAGGTACACGTAATAGCGCGTGTTGTATTTTGTGACAACACTATAAGTACTTCGTCGATTGTCTGCAATAAAGTGAACTGAAACACTTCAAAAATAGTCTAAAACGTAGATAATAACATAACAGAGGAACACCCATGACCTCCGATAAGATAAAAATAGAATAAAACTGGAATAAACAAATAAATGTAAAACTGTTGTATAATTTACAACAGCGCGCCCGCTGGAAGGTTAAGTAGGAGTGCGAGATGATAAGCCGTGAGCAGCAGCTTAACTACTCGGCAGTATACTTTAATTTTAGCTGTCTTGGCCTTGCTTTTGTCGACATACTACAAATACTCGTCCACAAATACACCTAAAAACAATTTCAACCTGAAATTGCATAATATATAATTGTGAATGTATTATCAATCAAATTACTTAATGTTGAACACTTAGTAGAAACTGGGTAGTTCAGTCAGCCACTTAGTGGACAGAAAGATAAAAATATTTTATTTCATTAATATGTCATTTTTTAATATTGAATGTATTAAAATATTTGAAACATTTTTTAATTGAACCACTAAAAGTACATTCACTTTCGTCTCTAATGTTGTTTAGATCAGGGATTCTCAAACTGTGGTACGCGTACTCCCTGGGTACTCGAAATGTTTTATGGGGTACGAGTCTGGCCAACAAACCAACAAGAAAAAGGTTCTTTAAGAGTCTTTAATTTTTTTTTATGTATTTTAGTTTAGTAACTAAAAATGGGGTAATCAACAAAATGTATTGATTAAAATGGGTACAGTGTTTATAAGAATTTGAGAATCCCTAGCTTAGGTGAAAAATGAATGCAAACAAGTATAAACACGTGCGTCATGTGTATGTAGCGTCCAGTTGGTCATTTTCTAATGAGTAAGAATTAGGCAAAATATGTGGCAGGTATACCCGAGTCATGTCAATGCGTGAGAGTGTCCATGAACATAAGTGTGTACACACCGCAGCTTATCCTAACGTGTTTTTGCATTTACAGGCACATCGGCTGTGACAAAATTGAAAGACTTTGGCTGGTGCGATTTTAATTCTCTAAAATCCCTAAGATTTATCATCATATCCTCCAAAGGTTAGGTTAGTTTTTTGAAATTTGAATTTCTTTAATACAGATTATTGAATAAAAATGTTGTAAAAACTGAAATGTTATGATATTATAATATTGTAAAAAGTTCAAATTTCGAAAAAAGTGCTCGGACCGTTCTCTAGAGGAGATGTGAAGAAATGTTATTATTTTAACATCATTAAAATCGAACAATCCAAAGTCTCTCAATCTTGTCATAGCAGAAGGTTTAAAAACGATTTTTATTTTTTATATATTATATTGCGAAAGATACACTCTGTATATAAGGATTTATTTATGGGTGTTATAACTTATAAGTAAACAGTGTCTTACTTTAGTTAATCCCTAATGACCCTACGTCCCTATCTATAATTCCTGTATTTTGAAATAATTGTTCAGTCTTTCTCATAAATAATATTTGTATGTTTTCAATCAAAACTTAGTTTTATGAATATGAAAATGACTTCATAATTAAAATTAAATATTATTTATTAATTAAATTAAACATAGATAAGTTTTTGTTCATTGTTAATTATATTCCTCGTGCCACTTTAATCATTGAATAGTAATTATATATAATGTATATTAAATTATTACATTATATTGTGTACTGTACTACTGTTTATAATAAATCTAACTCAATTGATAATTTAAAGCCTCAATATAAATTGAAAATATATTAAACGCCATTTTTGGTACATTATATATAAATAGATAATATCGGTAAAATTAACATGAAAAAGCATATACCTATATGTATAAATTAAAAATGTTTTTCTAAATAATTTACGTACATACGTTTAATATTTATCTACTGCAAACCATTTCAACATGAATATTTATTAAATAGGTTCTTATTATTCATGTATTGAACATTAAGTGTAAAGCTACATGCAAAATTGACTGTTCAAACTCGCCGCTCTTTTTCAATCCGTCGTCAAACAACCGGTCCGCGCGCCAGCGAAAAGGGCCGAATATTCTAGAACATCCGAAGGGAATATTTATCCTCTTTGCTCTCTTAGCGGGGAGTGGCTTGTTGACGTCCAAATCGCCAACGTCGACAACATATTGTCTTTTTCGACCGCTCGGGCCGTCAGCCGTTCCGTGGTCGGCCATTACGTCGAAAACATTGTGGTTGCGAATCGTGGGCAGTCTTCATTTCGTTTTTTCGTGCATTGTGTTTTTCAACTGAATACTGTTGTCCGTTTCGTTGCTTTTTCACATCATTTTCCGCCGATCCGATTAACGGAGACTGGTCAACTGTTTAACGCGTATGTCCGACGACACTGAACGATATCAATTGTTTGCGGTTGGTTGCCGCCGCCAAAGCCTTCCGTTCATTCCGTCGACATAATCGTATAAGTTGTTGCCGACTCCACCGAAATTATTATCTTTCCCGAATCGTGGTCCTGTGCACAGATGAGGTAATTACTGTTATTATATCTAGTTTAAGTATTATTGTTAAAAATACATTGTTAAGCTTTAGAGGCGTATAACATTTTTTTAAACCCCGATGTTTGATGTATTAATACATCGAAATTTTAAATATCGAAATCGTATTTCGAAAAAATTCATATTAACGATCAAGAAAAACAAAACAAGTGCATTGGTATTATCAAAACGCGGAAAACATTGTGTATAACAGTATAAAAAGTTTCAATATTTTCAATTATAAAAACAACAATTTGCCACTGTTCATCATGTGAATATCAGTGTTGTGTTAATTAAAAATTATCTAGATAGATGTATTTTTATTTTTTATCTTATCCAGATAAATTTGAAATGTGTTATCTGAGCTGTTATCTGAGATAATAATTAAAACATCTAGATACAATTTAAGTTTAAGGTTGCAAGGTTTTTGCAACTTTGCAAGTGTGAAAAAAAATGTATTGTTTCTTATTGACATAATACAGTAGAACTGACACAAATTAAATTTAGCGAGTGATCTGCACAAGAAACAAATTGAGCAAATTAATTTTTTTGTTTAATATGAGCTAGTAAACCTTCATATTTTCCAGACATATTTGTGGCGTTATCAAATGACTGCAAACGGCAATTTTCTAAAGTTAAATTGTGTTAAATTAAAAAATTATTGACGATATTGAAAAGCGATTTTCCTTTATGACTGATTATTGGAATGAAATTTACAAATCGTTCTTTAACTTCACCCGAATATATATATCTAAAAACAATTGATAATTGATAAATACCTATATGAACAATCTGGTGTAGAATATACAATTAATGAATAATATTTAGCGATAAGCATTTCTTCAATAATTGTTTTTAAGACTTTTTTCTTCATAAGTTGAATAAATTCTTCAAAAACATAATGTTGATAACATAGTCCGATAATGTCTTAGGTGTTTGCATTGAACAATTTGAAGACAAAGATTGTAAAAGTTGATCATCTAATTATTAATCATTAAATATCAATAAATATATATATTTCTTTTTAAAGTGAACGAAATTATATTATTTTTCTTATCAATAGGTTAAGTACATGCCACTCTGCTGATACAAGGTGTATTGCTAATATCTATACTGGAGTCTGTGTGTCCAAGTATTGGTGAGGAACAGACCGCTATACCAACACTACATTCTGGACCTAGCAAGTCCAAAACCTTTTCTTTAGCAATATTTTGTGATGCAGACATTTCACAAATGTTTGTAAATATTAAATATAAATTAAAACTAAATTATTGAATTCATTATTAATTTTAAAACAATACTAAAAAAATAGTTACTTGAGTTATCTTCTTGATCAGATTAGTAGATTTTGTTAATTTCGTTGATATAGCTATTAAACGACTGTAGTTTAAAGTTTATTACCTCTTATCTGAAGCGATAAAATAAAACAAAAATACTGTATATTGCGAGTTGTATGTACCTATCTAATTCAATAACATGCAGGTAGTCACAGACAATTTTTTTGGGTCCCGTGGGCTATAGCACTCTTAGCCCCCCGCCCCCTAATCCAGCTCTAACCATAATTATTATTATTTATTGCCACTAAAAAGGAAATTAATTTGATTTGTCTTTTTAATTTTATTTATTTATTTAATTTTATTTAGTAGGTTAAACATTAACGAATTACTGAAAAATAATGTTTTATGTATACAGATAATTTCTAGTCTAAATAATTTTTAAGTTTTGATTTTTGACACCAAATTGTGTGATGTTCTAAAAACTGCCCTTTACTTTTTGTACTTAAGTTAAAAAACATTAAATATTTTTTCAGAAATATAATTTATTTTACTTATAAGTTACATAAATCATGACTGTGATGATATGCAGATATGTTGCATAATATTATCTGATATAATTTATATACTTTGTTGTATGATAAATAGTTAGGTATTATAAAAAAAAATGTATCTTTTTTAATCCGGATAATAAATGCTGGTTGTTTATCATTATCTAGATAGTTAAATTATTATGTACCTTTTATGTTCATCTAGACAACTATTCTAGCAATTAAACGATCTTTATCTAGATATTTAATAAATTATCTTTATACAACACTGGACTGACAATCAATCCCATACGTAACAATGTAACACAATAGGAAACCCAAATCGAATTACAACCTAACATCGAATTACAAATATAAATGTTTTATGGATAGGTAAAGTAAAGACATTCTGTATTAATGAAAGTATCACAGTAAGTTATTGGGTTGATTCTTTATAATAAATATTGTTATTGAGCAGAGAATGTTTATTTTAACAGCTACTTTTTGTAATTTTTTTATTTTATATAAAGCAATTTTTCTAGAACATGAATATTGATATATTTTGAATTTTTTAATTCATATAGATCCGAGATGTAGTAAACATTAACCAATGTGTTGCCATGGCAGAAAAGCTTCACACATTGAATCTTAAACAATATATAATGAACAGACACTAGCTAGTTTGTTTATTTTTAAATTTTTAGCATGAAATCATATTTAAATTTAAAATTGATGAAAATGAAAAACAAATTACATGCAGATCATAACTTAAGAACCTATGTATGAAATAATTAGACATTATGAATTAATTATTTTTCAGATTATATACAATCAATTCAATTATTGAACTTTGATATCTGTTTAAATTTACACATACACCATGAATTCAAATTCTAAATTAAATAAAAGTAAGAATCAATTTTTCTATGTATTTTTATATTCATCAATAATTACATCATTTTATTGAAGTATGTCTTGTTCATATTCTTAGGGTTCAGTCAAATAAATTCACAATATACAAATGAAGATTGGTATAGTGGAAGTATTAAATCGATCACTCTAGAAAATTTTATGTGCCATTCAAATTTTCATTTAACATTGAATCCTCGAATTAATTTTATATCAGGTTTGAATGGTAGTGGAAAGAGTGCTATCCAAACTGCTCTTGTTGTAGGGTTTGGTGCTAGAGCAAGTATCACTGACCGTGCTAATTCATTAAAGTCGCTTATCAAATATGGGTATACATCAGCTACTATATCAATAACCATAGCAAATAGTGGAGACGGAAATAGTGATTGTGGTCCTTATAGGCCTGAAATATATGGCAAGCAAATTACAATAGTGAGGCAAATTACAGAATCATATACTAACTATACATTTTTAAATGAAAATAATAAGGTTGTTAAAGGTTGTAAAAATGAATTAAAAAATTTGACACTTCATTTTAATATATTAGTGGATAATCCAATATGTGTCATGAATCAAACAATGGTTAAAACATTTCATAAAAGTGCAAATCCAAGTGAGAAGTATGATCTTTTCTATAGAGCCATATCTGCCAATGTATATAATGAAACTATAAATAAAACAAAATCGGTTGCAAAAAATTACTCAGAAAAGCTTGAAAATGTTAAAAGTGTTTTAGCACAATGTGTCAAAGAACTAAGTGAATATGAGACTTACGAAAAAAAATATAAACAGTTAGAAACATTGAAAAATGGTAAATTTAAATTTGAAAATGAATATACTTGGCATATTGTTAATCAACATGAAACAACTTACAAAAAATATTTAAACGAAATTGAATCTCTTAAAATTAATATGTCTGAGAACACAGACAAAACTAATATTTTGGAACAAAATATTAAAACAAGTTCAGAAGTTTTGCAGGAAAAAAAAAAAGAGTTGACAAATACTGAAGGTTCTCGCTCACATAGTCATATGGTTTTTATGCAGACAAAAAAAGAATTGCAGGACAAAATCAGTGAGTTTGATTTTGTGAAGCAATCTGTTGGAAAATATGATTCTGCTTTAAAATTATTAGTCAGTGATAGAAAAGATTTAGAAAAAAGCATTGAAGTTGAACGTCAAAAAGTCAATACTAATACTTTATCAGAGTATAAAGAAATGTTGATAAACTATGAGCAAAAAATTTTTCAAGTAGAGGCAGCGCAAATAGCTAATATAGAGCATGAACAAACCCTGCTAAGTCAAATTGATGAATTGAAAATGAGAATTGGAAATCTAAAGAACAATGAAGTTACTCCTTTACAAAGTAAAATAAGTGAAATTAATAGAAATATTTTGAGTTTGTCTCAACAAGCAGACAAGATGAATTTTTATGGAAACTGGATGCCACAATTATTTAATGCTATTGAGATCGCTTTTAATCAAAACAAATTTATAAAAAAACCAATAGGTCCTATAGGAAAGTACATTAAAGTAAATAATGATAAATGGATATTTGCAATCGAAAACTTCTTAGGTCGAGAAACTTTAAGATCATTTTTAGTTGATAATTTCACGGATCGTATAGTTCTTCAATCCATAATTGATACCGTAATAACAGAAAACACGAGAAAACCATCTATTGTTATTATCAAATTTTTTGGCCAAGTACATAATACTACTGCACATGAAACTCAAAATAATTTGTTTCGTATGTTAGATTTTACTTGTCCTGTAGTAGCTAATTATCTAATTGATAATAATAATATTGAAACAATAACGCTTGTAGAAGACATAGAGGAATGTATGACTATAATGGAAAATGCATACCTTGTTCCTAAAAACTGTAACTTCAGTTTAACTTTAGATGGGACTCAAGTTCATCCTAGCCCTATGTATAGAGTATATTCTTTACAAAGTGCTACTGAACCAATTTTTTTGCAAAGTGATGTTTCTGTTGCGATTAATAATTTGAAATTTGAAAAAAAAAGATTAGAAATAAACTTGAATGCTTTAAACACGGAATTAAAAAATATTGAAAAGTCAAAGGAAGAAAGTCAACAAAACTTTGACAAGACACAATTGGAAATAAAATTACTAAAGGAAAAGTACAATACATATTCAAAAAAAATAAATGAACTTAAAACTAAATGTGAAGGAGAACACGATAACAGGATGACTATTGTAACTGAAGAAATAAATGAGGTTGATTTGAAAATAGCTAAAGCCAAAGAAATGAAAAATAACTCCATAAAACCAATTCCAAAGTTAGAAGAAGAAATTGGTATAATAAATGAGAGACTACAAGATATAAAATCTATTATTGATAAGTCTGATCGTTCTGCATTATTGGAAGAAATTGAAAGTCTCCAGGCTAAAATTAATAAATATCAAACAGAAATGTTGCAAATTAATAATAATTCAACTGAGCAAAAACAATTATTAAAATATTTACTTAAAAAAGCAGAAAATGAAAAAAAAAATCTAGAAAAAGAAAGAAAATTAGCAGAAGGATTATGTGAAAAGATTCAGGTAACACGCAATGAAGAAGATATAAGGAGAGATATAGAAGAAATTAATCATCAGTACCAATTATTAGAAATGGAGCTTAATAAGAGAGGTAAAAACTATTTAGTCTTAAGAGATGAGTGTAAAAAGAAAAAAAAAGAATATATTCGTCTAAGTGTTTTATGTAAACAAACTGCAGAGATTTTTAAAGCCAACGAGCAATCTGTTGAACTCAGTACAATAGCACTTATAAACTACATTGAGTATGTTCGGTTGAAAGTAATTGAATCTTTTGATTTGGTGCTGTTATTACGCAAAATAAAAGGACAACTCGAAATTAATCAACATGAACAAAGTATGGTAATTTCAATGTTTGATAACATGAGTACTTCGTGTGTGTCTGGAGGTGAACGGACATTTGCTACACTTGCTTTGATTTTAGCATTATGGAGCAATATGCAATTGCCATTTTACTCCATTGATGAATATGATGTATACATGGACGATGCTAATCGATTAGCCAATACTCGGATGCTGATGATTGCTATTAAAAATCGTAAAAACCAATTCATATTTTTCACTCCACACAACATATCCCATATAAAAAGTTCTGATAATATTAAGATAGTTACATTAAAAAAAACATAGACATTAAAAGTTATTTATTTTTAGTTTTTATTGTTATAATATGTTATAACTTATAAGTAACTATATTTAATTGTTATTTCAAATGTTATTAATAACTTTTTTTATACATATAATTTACAATGTTTGTACACCAGTGTTAATAGTATTAAACACAATTTAAATTTCTGTTCTAGTTGATAAGGAGAAAAATTGTAAGTTTACCACAATGTAGTTTAATTATATTTAAAGCATACAATAATTATAATTTCATTTAAGGTGTAAGATGAAATCAGTTTATATAAATTAATGAAATACTGTTATGTAATGTACCTATTTATGACTAATGTACTTAAAAACAGATAAACTTAAAAGTAATGTAAAACAATTCATAATTGATTAGTTTTTCTCAAATTATCATTATAATTATTCTGAAGTCTTTAAAACTCGAGGTGTCGTCAATATGCAACTTCACTTTCATTCCAATAATCCCCCTTCAATTTGCTCGTATAAATAACTATACAATTACAAATTGTAAATTAAAAACTTTTTTTAATAAAAAAAGAAAGAAAAAAATCTATATTTTATTGTTTTTGTTAGTATTATTTTGACATTATCCATGATAAAAATTTAAAACAATTAGGTATGGTACAAAACATGTACATTATAAAGATTGCAAAAATGAACAAGTTAGTGAGTAAATGTAGCCATTTAGAAATATTATTTTGCTCTTTTCTTTATTGGTCAAATATAAAAACATGGTGTCATGAATCATGATGCTACATCAGCTATAAATTAAATACAAACTGTATCTAATAGATACACAAACACAATGCGTGGAGAATCGTTTTAATACTTTTAAAGACCAAATGGTGTTGATTGGTTTTTGTTTTTCATTTTAATAAATTTGATACTGTTATACACACTATTTATTTTTCTTATTGTTTTTCATAAAAAAAGTTTTTAGTGTTAGTATATTCAACAACTAGTTACTTAAACATTTCATAATTTTTAACGAGTTATAACTTGTAATTGTCATGGTAGCTTTAAAATACTATTATTATTATTTTGGACAACCCGTCCCGTATGTACCTTATTTTAAAATTACTTCAAAAATTAGATTTTTTCCTATCATTTAGCATTTTAAATCTTTAATTATTGATAAAATATGATAATATCTAAATCAAATGATAATTCGAATATGTAATTAATGGTTACTAAATGTACATTTCAAGTATATAGTATACACCCAGTGGCATATTTAGGCCTACCCCCCGTAAATATGCCAATGTATTCCTACTAAGGTATGATTTAAAATGTCCCGTATTTAAAATAAATAAATCTGGGATCCCTAGTTTATTTATACGTGGTAGTTTTGTTCGTAATAATTTAGTTGTGTCATATTAATTGAATAATATTTTTCTAGATTTAAATGTTAGTTTATATTTACATATTATATCGTTATTTTAAATTATTGTCGTATATTTATTTTGTGTAAACATGCAGTTCTACACCTAGACATATTAAATATTAAAACATTTATTGATTTATTAATATGTCTATGATTCTTCATTGTCCCACAAAAGTAGTAGTTATGTCTAATAATTCAGAGTTCATAATACCTAATTTATAAATAACTATGATGATAAGAACAAAATTTATAATTCAAAATGTAAGCAATATTTATATTTATACAATACTGATTATTTTGATGACATTAGGTATACACGACTTTACTAAAAAAAAAGCAAGAAAGAAAAATTTAGTTAATATAGAAATTTGAAAATTGTTATAAGTTACATTAATTATACTATTTTATTTGCAATTGTTTTATAACTTCTTTTTACGTGGTTTTCGTCAAACATTTTAACATACATTTTTAGTTTGTACATTATATCATATCATACATATCTTCAATGTATAAAAAATACCTATAAATGTGTTGATATTTTATTTTTTAATTATACCTACTCCTATAATTTATACTTAAAACTAATATTTAAGGGTAAATTCATATCGAAAAATTACTTGTTATTAAAGAGAGGCCCAGATTTAGTTGCAGTGTACCCGGGCCTGTAAACTAGAGTAATAAAAGTGAATCGTATTATACAAAGGTATATAATATATACACTATATATAGTGTACATAACAAATGAAGACAATACAAGACAAGACATCTACGGTTAATACAATTTTTCAATAAGTAGTAGCCTGCAGTGACAAATTGTCAAAATTAAATAATTTGTATGATCTGAAAACCAAAAAATAAAACTTCACATATGAGTTACCTATGTCTAATTTTTCATAAATTCATAATATATATTAATATATTATATATGTATAAATACAATAATAGATACTCGTAATGAATAAAACATTTTTAGTAAATAAAAATAATTTAAGACTTATATTATAATAACAAATAATCGTAACAATATCAAAAATCATGTAATAAGTGCATAATTTGGTTATATTGATTAAAATATGTATTTTTTAAATTAGACTAATGCAAAAATATAACGCCATATTATAATACATCGTTAAAAGTCACCATGATGATCTACAGATAGGTGAATACATACGACATATCATATACCTATGTACATGAGTGAAGCCGAATTATATATTATTTTATATTTTTATTTTTATCCATCATACAATGAACTTTGCCATATTTTGGAAATAATAAAAAATCCAAAAAGGTACTTCGCCTATTTAAGTTTTGCAAAAAATCATTACCTAGTAATAATTAATAAATAATAATAGTGTTGGTGATGTTTATGCTGATGTTGCGAATTATGCTCAAATTATCACTTACAATAGCAACATTGTTGAGACCATTTTCTAAATTTAAGTTGATAAAGAATTACCCGAGAACTACATTAAGTAAATCAGAAAAAACAACAAATTTAGAAATACCTAATATAAATTGAACTTGAAATAGTAGAATTGGACTTTAAATTTTAATTATTATATTATTGACGAATTATCTGATCTCTACAAGAGGTAGGTACTAGGTATATAATAAAAAAATATTATATACAACAAATGTTAAGTTTAGTCGTATTTGGAATAATTTAAAAGCACCACTTATTTTTACCACTAACTACTGTGCTTGGAAAGTGCCTTTAAAAAAGTAATTAGTTCACTTTTATTGTAAATGGCTGTGTGCCTGTTGATTGGGCCGGATACGAAACAATAATAGGCCGTGCCGCCCGGTCACCAAAAATACTTCGCGCGGTACTCACACACCGACCGACCTGTGTAAAAGTGTGTATATGTGTATAGCGACTCAAAGGAAGTGGACGGGTTCGCCGAGCAAGACCGAAGAGTGCTAGTGTGTGGTGGGTGTGTAAGTGTGTATTTGTGTGAGTGTGTGCTTAAAAACTAATAATAAAAGGTAACACGTTCAAGTAAATGATATGTTGCTGTGTAATACAAATCTAAAATAATAATGATACAGATATATAAAAAAATCACAGCAACACAATAATATAATTATAAAACAATCTAGATAGCTACTAATATTTGCCGTTTGAGCTGTAAGCTCATTAAAGTATAATATAAGCTACTGGCTCAACAACATAATATAATAATAATAAGGCAAGCTATTAGAGCTACTAAAGAATATAATAATAAAGACTCACGTATTCGGCGGTGCACTGCTGGCCAGCTGCTACCTGTGCCTACAAAAAATGGTAATTGACACACACACACACAAAATAATAATAATTAACAACAACCTGCGATTAGCGCGTACAAAAGAAATATAAATTATAAAAACCGGCCAATAATTCAATACAAAATAAATAATACAAGTGGCGATTGGCGCCCACAAACAAATATAAAAATTATAAAAGTCCGGCGAAAAATGCAATACAAATAAAATATAATATTTAGCGATTAGCGCACAATATAAAAAATTACAATAACAACGGCGATTTGTGCCTTACAATAATATAAAGAACAATAATATAGAGACAAGAATTATAATAAAACTCTGCTGCGATTCGCGCACGCAAATAATGAAATATATTATAATAAATAAGAATAATGCACTCGGCGATTGGCGCCCAGAAATATTACAAAATCGAGGTTATTTGAGCCGTTGAAAACGTAATAGTAAACCTTGACGATTTGCGCCCGTGAATATATAATATTTTTTGCGTTGACTGTGTTTAACGAACTAACTAGTGACGGATTACGGCGGCCGTACTGGACATAATATACGGGAACTCGTCGCGGCGCAATCTACATATTATATAATTCACATACGACATAATTATAACGAAAATAAACAATATAAATAATTTACTAATGAGCTGTGTGTGTGTGCGGTCGCGCTGTGTGGTGGTGCGGTGGCAATTAAAATTTATGTATATCTGGCGTCGACACCTGTGTTATTAAATAATAATGTAACATACCTATAGTCTATAGGTATTGTGTAATTTAATAATTATTACTTATATCTTTATATTTTAAATATTATTTTATTTTTTAGTTATCGTGCAAAAGCCAAAATATTTAATAATACATCAAAAGTTCTTCTCGTGGTAGGCCATGACACTCATCTGAAGACCAATATTGGCGTTAGATCGATTTAAAAATATTTGTAATGAACGAGCACAAGCTGAGCAAACATCTCTCGGCGTCATTTATAACGAACTAACGAAGTAAGAGTTATATTTACTATATTTACAAACAACAATAATTATAAAACAAGGAAGTAGGTATATAAATAATATAATGTTACTGTATATTATATTAAAAAGTAAAATGTAATTTGTTGACTCACTTTATTTATAAACAGTCTTACATTATCTCTATGTACCTACACAATGTTAATACCTATATATTTTTTTGGTAAATACATTTGTACGATAATTTTTCAAATTTTAATATGGAAATACATTTTAAGACATGTGGGGTGGCGTGACGTGGCAGATTCTGTAAACGTGCATGTCAGTTCATATGTTTCAATACATAGAACAATGCGTAGACATATACGACGAATTCATCCGGTC